CCTAGGGAAATTAATCGCGCACTATCATTTTTGACGGGATTATTTTTTTTTTTACTTGTCACCTTGGAATGCATCTATGATTATTTTTAGTATTTTCGATCTTTCAAATCCTGACGAGAGATCTCTCTCTCCCCGTCTGTGTGCGAGGGGGCGGGGCAGTTTGCACACATGCGGTTGCTACATGCAACACACACACACACACACACACACACACACACACACTCCCGCTGGACCAGCGGGAGATTCGGGTACACAACCTGTAAGTATTCATTGTTGTTTGTGTATTTATGATGTTTAAAACAAACAAGGTATCTACAGCGACTGTTTAAATGGGTAAACGTTTTTCGGAATACTGGATACTGGCCTATGCTGAAATATCAAAGTCTCTGCAGAGCACGACACATGGCCAAAAACACTGAGACCAAATTACCTTTGATCCTGACTGACAGTGTTACTTGAGAAAAGCACTGTCAATGACTGACTCTGGGGTGTACCTGACCAAACTTGACAACCAGACAGTGTGAGTGTGAATTAGGGCTGCACGATATTGAAAAAAACTGACATCGCGATTCCCCCCCCCCCCCCCCCCCCTGCGGTATATATTGCGTTTTTTTAACCTGTTAAGCCCCAAAGTCCCGGCGGGTACTTTACTTTTTTTTCCACGACACTGTGTCTCAGGGGATCTTAATATTTAAGAACCTATTAATATGTTATACCAGATTAACGGAAATAATCTCAGCTAACTGACGATGCAAACCATTTTTACAAAAACACAACACAAGTCTCATAAGAAGCATCTAAATGACCCCTGAGCGAAAAATGCTAACGCACTTTGGCACAGAACTCGAGATAAAAGTACCCTTATTACTTATCGTAGCTGCACATCCAATTAAAGCTGAGGTTCCACAGATTATTTAGGTATATAGTATCATCACTGAGTGATCCGAACTCGGACAGGGGAAGCAAACACAGACATCACAACACGTACCTTTACGGAGCTTCTAGGGGAGATCTTCTCACCGTAGCTGTCAATCTGATCAAAAGACGTGTTCAATGGCATTAAAACGAGAAAAAACACGGCTGAATCGGTTAATCCATAGGTTTTTAACGTCTCTGTATAAACAAATTATTTCATTTATAATCCATAATTCCATTTTTATGTAAAAATCGCAGAGCAAAAATTAGCTGCTAATGGTAGCCACCAGAGTGGCTGCTGCTTCCGGTCTTGGCAATGCGGCAGTCCAGCGCAGTCTAACACACACACATTACCAAATAAGGAGTGAGAATGACGCGTAGCCAAAACCGGAAGCTGCATACACTCTGGTGGCTACCATTAGCAGCTAACTTTTTGTGCTCCGATTTTTACATAAAAATGGAATTATGGATTATAAACAATTGCTTCAAAGCCACATATACATTATCAACCTATGGATCAACCGATTCAGCCGAGTTTTTTCTCGTTTTAATGCCATTGAACACGTCTTTTGATCAGATTGACAGCTACGGTGAGACGATCTCCCCTAGAAGCTCCGTAAAAGGTACGTGTTGTGATGTCTGTGTTTGCATCCCCTGTTGCGATATCGGATCGCTTAGATACTATACTTAAATAATCTGTGGAGTCTCAGCTTTAATCGGATATATTGTATGTGCAGTTTCGATAAGTAATAAGGGTATCTTTATTTTGAATTCTGTGCTAAAGTGCGTTAGCATTTTCTAAAAAAAATGAATAAAACCGCACGTCCCTGCGGTGTGAATATCGCGCATGCGCATATCGCGGTTATCGCCATGACACGGTATATCGTTCAGCCCTAGTGTGAATGTATGTCTGCATGTGATCAGTGTAATTGCATGATTTAAAATAATAACTAACCAAGCATGTTTTTGGACTAGCACATTATTCTGGGGCTCTGTGGGAAACGAGAGGTTTCCTAAAATTCCACAAAATTGGAAAACCGCACATGTGACCCGTTTCTAATCTACTTGATGCTATTTCACTCCCACAGGCAGTGGCAGTTTGCAAAATGTGAAGCTCAAACTAAAACATGAAGATTCTGTTTATTTTAGGACTGAAAGATGGAGAGAAACACTTCTTTTCTCTGGAGTGTTTACTGTGGAAAATGATGGATGTACATTTGTGAATAATGTTTGGTATTTTCTTATAATCAATTATTGGCCATCCTTGTTATATAAGCACAAGCGGAGCCCTCTACTGGACTCTATGGGTACTACCCCTTGATCATATCATGCAAGCATTCATTCACTGAGACTTAGACTTAGACGTAGCCGGCCCCGGGGCGGGCGGTCTGAATGCGCGCGCATCCCACCGTATAAAAGGAGGCCTTGCCTCCTGACTGTCATCCTACACTTCTCTTCAGCAAGCAGCATAGGACAGACAGGGCCCTGAGTAGAGAGCTCCGCCTGTGCTTACATAACAAGGGTTACCATACGTAACCCCTCGTTATATCTCTCACAGGCTGAGCCCACAGCCCCGATGTATACACGCGCTGTCGTCCAACAACACCGTTCCACCTCACTGTCCCTGACCGGCTTTCTGGTTAGCAGCCGGTAATTAGCAGCCGGTAATTAAAATAGCTACGTGTGATATTCTAACCTGAAGTGTGTGTTATGTCCCGCTCACCGCTGCAGGTGATCATGCAGAGTGTTGGGTTCAGAATTCCAGAAAAGACAGACAACTTCTAAGTTTAACTATGTATTGTAAAGAGAGCAAAAGATATATATTAGGGATGCACGATATTGTTTTTTTGAAACCGATACCGATAACTTCCTGCTTCTCAAGACCGATACCGATACCCGATAATAATATAATATATATATATATATTAAATGTACCTGTAGTTTTTGCACTCCTGGTGGTAAAAAAAAGACTAGTAGTGAGCAAATGACATGAGCATTACTACTATGAACAAAACTAACCCTGGGGTCGTCTCTGGCAAACTTCTTGCCTTTTTCAAAAGCCTCGTCGATAGGTAAAAGCCCCGGTGCCTTTGCAGCTGGCTTTGGATTCGCCGCTAGTTTAGCAGCGCAGGCGTCTTCGTACGCTTTTAACACACCATTCGTAGCGATGGCGATGTTTCAGGTGACTAATCATGTTGGAAGTATTATAGCTCGTTGCCTTTTTCCCTCCTCGTGGAACTTCTGCATTGCATTTGTTAATACAAATAGCAAGCGAACTATCTAACTCTGAAACTTTGAAATAGTCCCATACTACCGACGACATGTTTGTTTACTGTCCTGGCTTCACGGCCGCACACCATTTACGTCACAGCCAGGCATGAGTTAGGGAGCGCTGGATTTGTGAAAAACTCCCCTCTTCCTAACCACTAATAAACCACTAATACCACAGTACTGGCAAAACGGGAGGAGCCGAGGGAAAAACAAGCGCCCCTCATCCCAATCCACCCACACCGCAGTATGTTTTTCTTTTTTTTACCCAAAAAATATATTAATATATTATATATATTAATACTTGTATCGGGTTAACGGGATGACGTCATAATTCCTAATATCGGACCGATAATTATCGGGCACCACTAATATATATCACTTGTCCAAGGACTCCGTCACGTCATAGAATTCACAGACAGCAAAGCTGTAATCCGTCAGTCTATTTCCGGAAAAGAGCCTCGAACCTCGTGCGACAATACATTTTATTACACGGGGCATTGCCCGTACATATATGATTGGTCAAGACTAGATGAAGAGATACCATGGTTTAGACTTGGTTCTGTTTGGTTGGTGTGCAGACTCAGATAAAGTCTCTTGGCAACACGACCTTCCAATCAGCATTCATCCGGCCTGTGGAAGTCCCTCCCTACTCTGGCACCATCACACGTAATTTGTTTTCGCTAACGTTTCTTCAGATAGTGGAAAACCATAATGTTGCTTCCTAGCTCTGCGTGGGAACAACAGGGGTGTTACAGTCTCTGTTGTTATATTATAACAACAGAGACTGTAACACCCCTGTTGTACAATATTAGTATGTGCAATATAACGATGTGCTATATATAAATATGTACCGCTTCGTAATTATTATTACTGGCTGCTATCTTGTAGTTAGACAATTCAACTTCTGTGATAAATCTGTAAATAACTGTGCAACAGCACTGCTATCACATTGTTTTATTTAATACATGCTACACTTGTTTTTTTAAATACTGGTACTGAATGTGTATTTTGTCTATTGTTCTTTGCGTAATATCCATGTTGATCTTCAATATTTTATGTATGCTTCTAATTAATATCAAGCTATCTTTGGCTCTTTACTTTTGTTGTAACAATTTCCCCTCTGTGGGACGAGTAAAGGTGTTCTGATTTGGATGCTGTACCGTATTTTTAAACATTAGATAAACCTAAAGTTTAAAGGTGGGGTAGGTAATTTTGGAGAAACCGGCTCGAGTGCGCTAGAATTAGAAAATACACAGCCGGAAAAAATCTGCCACTTCCTTACAGAGCCCCTCCTCCAACACACACGAACGCGCACATGACCAATGAGGGCAGGAGATAAGTGTGTGCCCAGATGGAAGGCTGACAGGCAGGTAGACCATCCAGTTATTTTAGCCGGGCCGGCTCAGATGATTGGTCGTGCTTTTTACAGCTCCACGGCTTCCACTGATGGAATTTTTTAATGGATTTTTTGTCAAAGCACTTCAGATATTCATTGCTATCAGGATGTTAAGAGCATTCCATGGAATATAACAAAAAGTGTATCTCCAGCCGGTTTCTCAAACTTACCTACCCCACCTTTAAGTTTTTTGTTTGATTAAACGACTGTTATTAAGAAAATAATCATTTTTGATGCACTACATTTGTCATCCTTGTCTATACATTTGACAGAGAAGCAATACAAACATATGCAAAGCCTGTTGTGTTAAGGGTGTGTTTGATTTCCATAGCTCTGCACAGAGGCCCTCCCACGAGGCGGTGCTTGTTGATACCAGCATCGTCTGTGCTCAGATGCTGCTGTGGACTTAACCTGACTGCTGCCTCTGTCAAATAAAACATCTCACTTTCTTTGGATGGCATTTTTGAGGATAAGAAATTGGCACAAGAGGAAATATGCACTCATCTGCCTGGGCATTGTTGGCTTCATCATTTACAGATATCTCATGTGAGTACATTTTTCAATATTATTGTTTCAGTTAGAGATACTTTGAGGCTGGTAGGCCTGATGCAGTGCCGACAGTGAATAAAGGATCCACTAAATTAAGAAATCGATGCTGCAGGCCTGGACATATGGATATGCTTTAACAAAAAGTATGATTTGATAGCCTACCAAAACTATCGCAGATACAGTAAATCCCTCTAGGATTAATATTATTATTGTGCCCATATTATTGGTAAAAGCTACCCTAGCGTAAAACAGGGAGATAGAATAAAAGCAACTTTAACTACCGCATAAGTGGTGTGATGCCAACATATCAAGAGAAAAAGTGTATATTATAGTTTAAAAGGTTAATAAGAAGTACTGAACTCATCTGTTAGAGTCACTCTTGCTTCTCAATACAAATATATTCTTGCTGTTTTGCGTTTCTCAAACATTTCCTATCTAGCATGTCATGTGGTCTTTCAAAGCACAATAGCCTATGTTCTACACTATGTGAGTAAGACACGGGAACTTTTCTCTCAGGCTGCCAGCAGGGGGGCGGATCATGAGCAAGAAGCTGGGTCTGAGCGCCAACTCGTCCCAGCTCACCCTGGAGGGAGAGCCCTTCCGCATCATCGGGGGATCCATCCACTATTTCCGGGTGCCCAGGGCCTACTGGAGGGACCGGCTGATGAAGATGAAGGCTTGTGGCCTCAACACTCTCACTACGTAGGAACACTACTATGAATGTGATTGTTTTTCAAGACTGGTCCCTGCTTCACAGTGGTGTAAAGTAACTAAGTACATCTTCTCAAGTACTGTACTTAAGTAACATTTTGAGACTTATACTTTACTTGAGTATTTGAATTTTGTACTACTTCTACTCCACTCCAATTCAGAGTTTAATGGGGTTCTTTTACTCCACTACATGTATTTAATACCTTTAGTTACTTTACAGATTTTGATTAATGATGTGAAATATAATCAAGTCTTTAGTTCCACCTGGAGTAAATTCACAAGCTACCCTGCAGTATACAAAGTCATTAAAACTAGCTGCACCTTTACCAGCTTTGATAACACTTTAATGATCAATCATTATAGAACATATCATATATATATTATTCTAAAATGGACCAATCTGCACAATGACTACTTTTTTTAAGTATATTTTGATGCTAATACTTTTCTACTTTTATTTGAGTAACATTTTGAATACAGGACTTTTACTTGTAACAGTATTCCTTCACCCTGGTACTTCTACTTTAACCTCTGCTGCTTGAATGTTAACAAACAACATCATGTATCCTTGCAGGTATGTGCCGTGGAGTCTGCACCAGCCAGAGAGAGGGGTGTTCACCTTCCACACACAGCTGGATTTAGAGTAAGGGGGACTGTTATTCAATTCATGATAAATCACTACACTTTATTTCTTATGGGATTGCTGCCCAAGCTTTCATTAAACCAAATGTGCAACCTAAACTGAAAAAACTGAAACATTGACTTTAATTAAATGTGTATTGTCAACACATTTCACATAACTATATTAAGATAGTTGAAAGCTATAATATTAAGTTAAGTCAACGTTTCAGTTTTTTCAGTGTTCATATGTCCCTAATAAGAATGAAAACATCTTGCACCAGCTCTCCTGCTGCTCTGATAGTATTACCTGCTCTAAGGTGTGCTGGGAATACTCTCCTCTTCTTCTTCTCATTATCTAAGCCCCAGGTCTCGGAGGAGGGGGGGCCTTGAGGCCCCACCTGACAACAGCAGCATATTCCAGACAACATGAGCTTGTCCTGCAATTAACAACTCTGTGGTGACGAGTGAACAGGGACACTAAAGCCTGTCATAGTTTCATAAAGCACATTTCATACTCCCACAACAACACGATATAGAGCTTACTTTGGGTCTAAACTTGTTTTTAAATTCATTGTCTTATCCGACTTGGTTTCAGAGCCTATATTAACCTCGCTGCTGAACTGGGACTGTGGGTGATTTTACGTCCAGGGCCCTACATTTCCTCTGAGCTGGATCTAGGAGGGCTGCCAAGGTAGTATTCTTTACATTTAATTTAAAATGAATGCCTAAATGTATACAGGATTGCATCTAGAATTTATTTCTTTGTATGTATAAAACAAGGATGCAGATTTTAGATAAATTGAATTAGATTAGATATACTTTTTTATCCTAAATTGGGAATGTTTTGTTACAGCAGCATGTAAAAAGTCCATGCACATAAATACAAAATAGACAAACAGTAAATATATACTTAAAAAAAATACAAAATAGACAATATAAAACTATAAAGAATACGTTAGAAAAGACATACCCACTAACCTACTACCGCTAAATAAACTACAAATAGGGTATATACATTCAAACCCAAAGTAGGTCCAAAAAGTTGATATCGTTGAATGAAGGTATTTAATTTGTATGTAACTTTATATCAGCAGCCCAAAATCAATCTAGCTGAAACATAAAGTTGCTACTTTTGAGGTGAGTGAGCTGAATAAATCACATGTTGCTGTAAGGGAAGACATTGCAGCATTGTCCAGCAATTTACAATTCTTAAATTCCTGAATTAATTCATGCTAAGCCTTACTATGCCTCTGTTGTTCTGGCTGCTCTTGGCTTCAGGAATAACTAAGCTTCTTGTTTCCTGTGTCTTTGCAGCTGGCTCCTCCGTGATGGCAGCATGAAACTCAGAACCACTTGCCCCAGGCTTCACTGATGCTGTCAATACTTACTTTGACAAACTCATACCAAAAGTGGTTCCACTGCAGGTCAGTATTAGTCACTAAAGCTGAAACGAGGGGTTACGTATGGTAGCCCTTGTTTTATAAGCACAGGCAGAGCCCTCTGCTGGACTCTATGGGTACTACCTTATCATGCAAGCATTCACCTACTGAGATTTCTATAGACGTAGCCGGCCCCGGGGCGGGCCTACCTGAATCCGCGCGCATCTCACCGTATAAAAGGAGGCCTCACCTCCTGACCGTCATCCTACACCTCTCTTCAGCGAGCGATATAGGACAGACAGTGCCCCAAGTAGAGGGCTCTGCCTGTGCTTATATAACAAGGGTTACAATACGTAACCCCTCGTTATATCTCTCACAGGCTCTGCCCTCTACTGAACTCTATGGGTAAAGTGGGCAGAGCCCAGATGTATACACGCACTGTTGTCCAACACACCGTTCCACCTCACTGTCCCTGACCGGCTTTAGCAGCCGCTGCGCCTCACTCACCTCTCCCTCGGTTGTAACCGTGGAGAAGTCCGGGCTGCGGCTGACAGAGCACACCCTGACGCGCTTACCTCGCGAAAAGTGTGCTCGGAAACAGTGCTGAGGGCACCCCCCGGACTTTCTCCGTCCGCCTATTGGCAGACGGAGAAAGTCCCCAGCCCTGGTTCACTATGCACCACCTCACCCGAGTCCCTAAGGAACACGGGGAGAGCGCAAGGGCCCCCATGTCGCCCACACTCAGACACTGACCCCGTGCAGAGTGTGTGCGGACTATAGTGTGGAGGGCTCTCTCCTCCTGCCCCCCGGCAGGCGAGGCGAGCCCACCAGCCCCGTAAGGGCCCAGTGCGCACTACGTCCCCCGCGACCCTCCAGGGGGCCCGGAAAAAACGTAAGCGCATTTACGCCCGGGGAGGGGGTCAGATGCCCACTGACCTACAGCCCCTCCTCACCAGTCCTGTGTTGCCCCAGCAAGCACAGACGAGGAGAAAGAGCCAGACATGTCCAATAGATAAAACTTTATGAAGGGGCCTGGCGTTGACCAAGCCCCGCCGTGCATTTATCCTCCACACTCACACCGTTGAATAAGGCTGTTGACACAGCCACAGCCCATGTGGAGTGTGCACGGACCCCCGCGGGGCAGGCTCTCCCCGCCTGTCCGTAGGCATGTGCAATGCCTTCGCAGAGCTAGCCTTCGAGGCGTTTCTTGGACAGAGCTCTCCCGGTCACCCCGCCCCCGAAGCACACAAACAGCTGTTCAGTGCGTCTAAGGGCAGCCGTGCGCTCCACATGACATGCTAGCGCACGCACCGGGCAGAGGAGGTGCAATTTAGCTTCCCTGGCCCCACTATGGGGTGGAAGTCTAAACCCCCTAACTGAATAGCCCTCGACCTGAACGCACTCCTTAGTCTCTTGGGCACAAAGGAGGGGTTCGGTCTGAGTGTCGCCCCGCTTCGGTCACCCCGAATCAACAAGCAACTCTGGTGCATCGACAGAGCGGTTAACTCGGACACTCTCTTGGCTGACGTTAAGGCAAGTAGCAATGCTGTCTTCCACGACAGTGCTTTCGGGGAGGAGAGTTCCAGAGGCTGAAATGGTTATGTGACCAGAGCCTCGAGCACCAACGGCAGGTCCCACTACGGGGCGGAGGCGTGCACTACTGGGCGCAGCCTCCTGACCCCCTCTAAAAACCGCGACATCAGTGGCTGAGAAAAAGGCTGACCTGCCGTCAAATCCCTCATGGCAGGACGAGATGGCTGATGCATATACTTTCACTGTAGAATGAGCTAGTCCTCTGTCCACCAGTACCTGTAAGTAGGATACAATAGAGCCCAACTCACAAGATAGGGGCTCTATTCTCCGCTCCTCACACCATCGCTGGAATCCCAACCACTTTGGCCTGTAACAGGCTGTGGTGGATCCCGCTCTAGCTGCCTGGATAGACTGAATAACACTGTCAGTCAATCCACCCTTTCTCAGCCTGTCCCTCTCAGGAGCTAAGCCTGAAGAGGTTGGCCCAGAGTGGGTAACGCTCCGATTGCACCTGCTTCTTGAGACATCGCCCCCCAGAACTGGGGAACCGCCCAGGGCTGGCCCACCTTCATCTGTGTCATCTCTGAGTACCACGGTGCTCCGACGCGATCCGGTGCTACTAGGATGACTGACAGACGTTCTCGCCTAACTCTCCCCAGGAGAGGGAGAATGAGACGCAGCGGTGGAAAGGCGTAGAGCAGCTTTCTTGGCCATGGCTCGTGTGCGAACGCGTCCACCCCCAAGGGTGGGTCGTCGCTCAGAGCCATGGAGAACCACAGGGCACAGTGGCTATTGCGCCGGCTGGCGAACAGGTCCACTTCCGCTCTCCCGAACTGGGCCCAGACCTGCTTCACCACCTTCGGGTGAAGCACCCACTCGCCTGGCAGGGGGCCGCCCCCCGACATGAGGTCGGCCCCCCTGTTCTCCAGTCCCGGGATGTGGAGGGCTCTCAGAGATAACAACACCTCTGAAGCCCATAACCACAGTTTCCCCCTGCTGTGGTCAACAAGGCGGCGGAGCGGACTCCGCCCTGCCTGTTGATATAAGCCACTGTGGTGGTGTTGTCGCTCCTGACCATTACATGTCTCCCCTGAATTAGGGGCTTGAAATGCTGGAGGACCAACACTACTGCCCGTAGCTCTAGGGGGCTGCTGTGCCGTGTTTCTGTTAGAGACCAGCGCTCACCTATAGCCCTCTTCAGGCAGGTCCCTCCCCATCCTGTTCTCTGTGAACACTGTGATGTAAGAGGTCACCCGTCCCAGTGGAGACCCCATCCGGAGGTGATCCGGGGACCCCCAGAACCAGAGGTTGCCCTCCACTGAGGGGGGTGGTCACCAGACGTCGTTTGTGCCTCTTGGGAATTAAACGCAGGCTGGAGAACCACCCCTGCAGGCGGCGCATATGCAGTAACCCGAGCGGGACCACAACGTGGACAGCCGCCATGAGACCCAGTCTGCTTGACAGTTAAAGCTGTCACTGTTGCCCCCTGTCGCAGCCTGTGAACCGCCCGAAGCAGGGACGCACGTCTGCTTCCTGACAGGGTGGCGCGCAGCGCGTCTGCATCGAGCACCACTCCCAAATACAGCGCCTGTTGGTGAGGTATGGGGGTGCTCTTTTTCCAATTGATCACAAAGCCCTACTTGATTAGGTGTAGGATCAATTGCGCTGTGCAAAACATTGCCTGTTCCCTGGACCTGGCCATGACTATGAGGTCGTCTAGGTAAATTAAAACTCTCATGCCATGGACGTGTGCGTGGGGATAGGGAGTAGCCGAACGGTAATCTGTTGTACTCGTAGGCTATCCCCTGCGAAATGCAGATACTTTCTGTGCTCCGGAGCAATTTCCACATGAAAGTATGCGTCTTTCAGGTCGATGGTGGTGATCGCCCGGTCGCAATAGCCCCAGTAACTATTTTATAGTTATTTTATAGTTAATTTTCTGCAGGCAATGTGCCGATTCAGGCTGCGGAATCTCTGCTGAGAGGAAACCCATCTCCTCCTGGGATGATAGATTTACCTCTCGCATACCTTTTGAATGCAGGTGGGATGCTGCAAAACTGGAGTGAATAACCCCGTTTCAGCGTCCTGTCCATCCACTTTGTTAACACACAGCTGAGTTTCCATTCCCCATAACATTGTGTTAGGGGACAAGCCCTCAGCCATGAAGCTGTGGTACTCCCTGGTGACCGTTCTGCTCATGGAGGGTTGACACAGAAAGGGCCAATTTTTTACTGAGGTCCCTGAACGCACCGCCGCACGCTCACACAAGATCACGCGCGCGCTCCACCATAATGTCCCCTTTACCACTACGGTAAAGGGCATTAATCGGAATCTTTACTCTAGGCGTAGTGTGTTCCCTGACAGTAATACGCCGGCCATAATGCCCCTGTACCCGCATAGCACTCTGATACCACTTCCTGCAATTTATGACTCATCTGCGCATGCCCACTAGCTACCTCCTTCACAGGAGCTACACTGGGGCAGCGAGTGGGGAATTTGTACAGTTAACATTGTGTGTGAGTGTAGAATTGTGGAAACAAATGACACTCAGACTTGGATACAGATCAACATCTTTATCTGAAAAAATATGGATCTGTGCATTATACAGGGAGGAGGCAGGATTCGCCCTTGCGTCCCGGGTGGAGAGATTTTCTCCCCCCGCCGAGACGCTTCCTCCCCCCGCCAGGCAGCTCCGCGAAGAAGGAGCACCCCACCCGTCCGCTCTCTGCTGCTGCGGAGCCTGCCAAGGTCAGGCAGCCCGCCCCCGTGAGTGCCGAGATTATTCGTCGCAGCCGCCATCTGTGCCTCGAGCCTGAATATTTTTATCCAAATATTCTAAGGTGTCTCTGTCCCGCGGTAGCGGGGCCAGAGGTTTCGTTCCCTCCGCCCAACCAGCTGCCAGACTCTCGTCGAGGGGGGGCACACCGGGACACCCCGTGTCCGAGCGGTGCACCCTGATGATACCTGCCATGGCTGTTATCGGGGCCTTCGTCCTCAATGGCTGCCGCCACGTTGCCTCCACATACTGCCAGACATCTAGCACCGGGGGCGAGACAAAGACCGGCTGTGCCGGATGCACCGGGCCGTAAAACCCCTGTCGAAGGCGGCTTACTGGCCTCGGTGGCAGCGGTGGGGGGGAGCGGTAGGCCCACACGCTCCTGGCGGCCAGACCCGAAAGTACCAGACAACGAGGCGTCCTCGTCGTCTTCCTCCTCCGTGACCGTGGTCAACCGACCCCTGGCCGAACTTCACTCAGAAAAGATCCCCACGATGTCGGCGGTTTAGCCGAGGGATCATCCGGCAGGCGTTGCAGGCCGGCAACTGGCTTAGGCGGTCTTCGGTGTGGTCCGGCCCCAGGCACTGGAAGCACAGGTGGTGCGGATCAGCCCCCGCGATCAGGCCAGTGCATGTCGGGCAGGTCCGGGGCTCAAGGAGTGGTGAGTCCACTTTTCTTCTCTTTCTCTATTCACGTCTTACTCAGTGTTCACTTCCGCTCGCTGAAGAGAAAGGGATGACGGTCAGGAGGCGAGGCCTCCTTTTATACGGTGAGATGCACACGCATTCAGGTAGGCCCGCCCCGGGGCCGGCTACGTCTCAGTATAGTAGGTGAATGCTTGCATGATAAGGTAGTACCCATATAGTCCAGCAGAGGGCGGAGCCTGTGAGAGATATAACCAAGTCTGGTTTACGTCTAGATCATATAACCTACTGTCATTGTTTATCTTTTTTAGTTCAAGAAGGGAGGTCCAATCATTGCAGTGCAGGTGGAAAACGAGTATGGTTCATATGCAAAGGACGAAAGTTACATGCTGTTTATTAAAGAGGTGATGTATTAGGCTTGCTTAATTCAAATTGCCACTTTAAACCTGCGTAAAAATACATACTTGTATAAAAAGAGATTGATAATGATAGAATGGATCATTATGATAGTGTTCATATATTTTCTTTTGCAACATTTCTTTTTATTTTGAAAGGCTTTACAGACCAGAGGGATCAGCGAGCTCTTGCTCACATCAGACAACCACAACACATTAAAGTGTGGAGGTGTGGATGGAGGTACAAGTAATATTCTGCTCATTTTCAGGTGTATATCAGTATGTAGTGTCTCTACTGTGACACGTCTCCATGCTTTAATGTTCAAACAGCTCTTTATTGTTCTCACACTGCCTGTGCTGCAGCACTTCTTTTCACCCTCTGTCTGAAACCAGAGCCCAGTCTGCTCTGATTGGTTAGCTGACCGGCTCTGTTGTGATTGGTCAACAGCTTAGAGATATCCCGCCCCTTAGCCTATCACGTACAATGTGTTGAGCGCTAGCCAATAGAAGTGAAATGTTTACGTAGTGATGTCACTATGTTACGGAAGTAAACAAATGAGTCCAATGGAGGCGTTTCAGGCAGGTGGGGAGTGTGTGAGAAGATAGAAACTCCCTCTGGAAGGAACACAGGGATTTTAGCCTTTGCAGACCATTTACATGCACTAAAACCTATATAACACACTACAGGAAAAGGACAACCCTAAATGCATAATGGAGGCTGTTTTAATAATACACACACACACACACACATACATTGTGATCTCCTATCTTGTAGCCATCAGATCAGTGAAGCTGCAGAAGCTTAATCAGAGAGATATCCAGGATCTGAACTCTATCCAGGTCTGTATCTTTACTTTCCACAATATGTGACTTTCTGACATTAAAGATATCACGTTAACAGTGATTAAACGCTGGACAGTGAGCCAAATGTGGGACATTTTCTGCACTGTGTCAGCCTAACAGCCCCATGATGGTGATGGACTACTGGACTGGTGGATATGATGTGTGGGGGGACCTCCACCATGTGCTTCCTCTAGAGGGTAAGAAAGGCAGTGTCTTTTAGAGGGAAAATTATTGCTAATTACCCTATCCTTGCACTGAATTTTTTATATATGGCGATTTTGTTTTCATACTACCCAATTTGAATGCATTTAACTGAAACTGAAAATCCTTGATTCAGCTGGTAAAATGACATTGTTACAGCAAAAGGACAGTGCAGACAAAAATACACATAAAAAAGAGGCAAGCAAACATTAATTAAATCAAATAAGTGCACATCCCTGCTAAAAAAATTATAATAAAATGAAAATCATAATAATTAGCAGCATTGTACAAAAAATATAGTTCCTGAGCTTGTGTTGCATGATATTCCCCTTTCTCCCTTCCCTCATTTTTTGGTTTCTCAAGTATCTAACGAAGGTCATAACAAATACAAATATGCTGGATACATTTAGCAGATTTGATGGAAGTTCCCTAGATCACAGCTACTTCAAAACATTCAATTCAATATTTGTTTTGCAAGTTTTATTCTTTAATGAATTGTTCAGCATTGCTTTTTCATATATAGGTCTTAATGTTTCCCAATATTACTTACTATTTCACTTTCGGTCTGGAACACAAATATTTTCATGAAATGTGATTCACTCGTGCCCTGGAGAATACAATCTTCTTCTTGGTCTGTTTGTGGCTTTTTGACCAGCAACACTTTTAAAGTACATTTTTGACAGAAATAAATCCACTAAAACATATTGGTAAAATCCAATTCTGCAACAAACAAAACTAATTAACGTAAGGCTGTTTTCAGATTGAACGCCATTGGTTTCTCATATGCCACAGGACAAAAAGACAATTTATTATGTCTATTCTGATGGCTTTTTCTAGGCCACTGACTCTCTTCATAAATATTTGTTACCCACCAGCCGAATTAATATCAAGTCACCCTGCTGTAAACAAATGCTTCCTATCTCACTCAGTAATTTGCATAATTATTATTTTCGTCCTGCTGTCCTTTTTGCATGAAGAACGCCAGCTACATGACAACAATGGAAATGCAAATGTAGTTGTACATTTATGTTTTTAAGAAGTTAATTTGTTGTAAATGTAACTTGTTGAAATTCTTGTCAGATATGGTTTCCACTGTGAGAGAAATTCTGAGGCAAGGCATGTCTGTGAATCTCTACATGTTCCACGGAGGCTCCAGTTTTGGCTTCATGAGCGGAGCACTGGCTGATCCTTCCTACAAAGCTTTGGTCCCCAGCTACGGTTGGTTATATTCTGCCCTTTCACAAACAAAGTAGTTTCGTCTCTGATGCAAATTTACAAGGATTTTATTATAATGATGAAGCACTTCCATGTCAGGACTTAAAGAAAATGATCCTCGTCTTCAGAACAGCATTGACCTTAACGCCCAGCAGGTGGCAGCAGATGATAGTTTATCTATGTTAAATCATGATGTTTTTCAGATTATGACGCTCCCTTGTCTGAAGCTGGGGAGTACACTCCAAAATACCATCTCCTCAGGGATCTACTTTCCAGATACAACAGTAAGATAAATACTACATTTAATAAAGTATGTGATTACATTCCATGACATACCTCTTTGCCTGATGTTATATAGTGCAGGCAAGAGATACACATAAAGGACAAACAGTATGATGAGATGATAATACCAGCTCTAAAACACTCAACAACAACAAAAAAGGATACAAAACTGAGGTTATAGTTTTACATTTTAAATAACTAGTTAGACAGTCCGACACACCCAAAGTGAGCTTTCTGTGTCTTTGTTTGCACCATATACCAAAGCAAATCCTCTATGTGTAATTATTTTTTTTTTTATTTTTCTGATTCACCCGACATGCAGATAATATTTATTGTTCCATAATCTCATTCTCTGATAGAGCTAATTTTATTGCATTTTTAGCATTTTGATTTACCTTAGTAAATACAGTATTTTACCCAATGGTATAATTGTATTTGTATCCGTGTACTATGTTTTTCAATATTAAGTGGCTTTATCCAGTTTTAGATATTGGTCTATAAGCTTTTAACATATATACATCAGAAAAACAAATGTTCACCCTCTTCTTTGTTACACAATCCACATAATGATCATTTTCAATGTTTAAGATGTTGTTTTGTAGCAGTTATCTCGCAAAATATCTTCTAATCTAAAGTAGGCTTAATTTATTGTTTTAATGTTGTCTTTGACCTTGTTGTACAGGAGGAGATAGTTTACCTGACATGACAGCCCTGCATTACAGGGAGGCTTATGAACCAGCCATCATGTACCAGCACCTGTCATTATGGGATGCTTTGAGCTTCACTGAGGGAGTATGTTTTATGTAAGATAAGTTGTATATATGTGTAATGAAAAAAATATTCTTTTGAATCCTTGATAATTTATTTTTTTCAAATGTTTGCAGCCATTTAAATCACCCAAACCAGTGAGCATGGAGAATCTACCTGTGAACAATGGGAACGGACAGTCCTACGGATACACGCTGTATGAAACTACCATCACCAGCGGAGGGTTGTTGAAATCTGGGGATAACGTCCGAGACCGAGCGCTAGTGAGTCTTTATTGTACGTTATAGAATGGGCTCACTCGCCAATGCAGATGCAGGAAAGGTTTGACCTTTGGCAGGGTATATGCAGGAATCCTGAAGTCAGATTTAATACCTTTTAATACCTTTTTTAAGACCCTTTCCATACATTTTAAGACCTCATCTCCACTTGGAGTTTTAACCGGTTACATTGGCGACACACTTTACCTCACATTGACTATATACAGTATTGATTGTCCTTCCTCCTTATCTTCCAACCATTTGGACGCAGACTTGCATTTCCCCATAACGATGTTGTTTAACAACCGGCGTAAACGGACCTTCGCGCGCTATCAAGCAGTGAGCGTGCGATGTCCTGTTCAGATGACGTCAAATCCAACGGGATGCCATAAATAAACTACACAGAATCACACTACACACCTACGCAATGATTACATTCAGGCAGACTGTAGAATACAACCTCTTTGGACAATTTATATAGTTATTCAGTGTTTCCCCTAAGTTTACTGCCTTGGCAGGGTGCTGCTCGGGTATCCCCTCAATGATGGCCCGAAAAAAAAATTCGGGCCAAGTGTTACACTGTACTGTATTACTTTTATTCAAACTGTATTCCCTTCTTATCATGTAGCCAGGGCCGGACTGGGACAATAAGTCAGGCCGGGAATTATACACCCAGCCAGGCCACTACCAGTTTTCTTTTGTGCCATTTTCCTGGATTTATTTGTCAATATATACAGCGTTGCTGTGCAAATCTATTTAGGAACCTATCCATGTGAACATATTTTAAGTGGGGGTGGACCTGAAATCCTCTAGGGGGGTCCGGGAGCATGCTCCCCTGGTAAGATTTTTTTTTAAATGTTGGACTGAAATGCATCAATCTGGTGCACTTTGAGGGGGAAATAAAGAGACAACACCCATATGAAACAGAACTGTATACATTTAAATAATCATAAAATCATAAGAACATGGCCATAACCAATAACATACCATATCCAATATGAAAAAACATTGAAACTTGTTTATTTATTTTTGGTTCATTTATAGTTGTGAGTGTGTCTGTGCTCCTGAATCAGCCTCTCCTGTCTCCCTCCTCTCCCCCCCTGCTCCTCTTTGAGGCAGCAGCAAAGACTAGTTTTTTTTTATTTATGTAGTTTTACATAAATGGTGACCAAACCGTTTGAGACCCACAGAGACTAAGTTAACTATCTAAACACTCAAGAGTCCTTTACCTCGCCTGAGCTGTAGTTATCAGTAGGGTTGGGTATCGTTTGAATTTCCATGATTCTGATTCCGATTCCGGTTCTTAACGGTTCTCAATTCCGATTCTTTGAGGGGCAGGGTAAAAAAATGATACATGCTTCTTCCACCAACAAAATTACATTTATTCGAGAAACTTTTACACAGGTTAGTTTACAGTAATATTTATTCACATTAATCAGTCTGTTTATATTCACTGCTATGTAACTGTAACCTGAGAACCACTGAAGCTACAACAGTGCAACAGTCCAACTTTTAAAGAACAGTTCTTGTTGAGAAAAACAAGCATATCTGCCTTCTCAGGCATACCGGGAAGAAATGTTTGAACATTTTAAAGTAAAATGCTTCAATCTGGTGCACTTTAAGCATAGAGACTAGATCTAGGGGGGTACAACTCTAAACACCCATATAAAAAAGATCGGTTTACATTAAATAAGTATGTGAACATAACCAATAACCTACCATAGCCAATAACAAATACATGTAACGTAGTTTATTTTTGTTGTTCATTCATATCTAAAATACGCCCATTGGCTACACATCAATATATGATTGGTTGATCAAACTGTCAGTCCAAACGTACGCTCTCATTCAGTGCAACGGCCAGGGCATTCGATCAAGGATGTAGAATACCTTGGTTGAAGGATATTCTACCCAGAGACCCAGAACAAGTTCTGATTTTTTTTCTAACACAAAACCACTGAAATGCGTAGTGCATGGTCCGAGAAGGACAAACAAATCAACGTAACACTGTAATATTACAGATCAACAACACGGATCCGATTCTCATTTATTCATTTTATATACATTTTATTTATATAATTAAATCGATTTTTTGTTTGTTTTATCTGAGTGTTCCAGGGTATTCTCTGAATACCTTGAAGGCCCTGATGGTTCGCCACTGCCATAACCCCACCACCACCATGGGCCACTCGATTCACAACATTACCCTAACCCTAACCCTAACCAGATACTGACTGGTTTTCGGACCCCCCCAATAAAGCAAAAATGCACGTTTCAGAGTGGCCTTTTATTGTGGCCAGCCTAAGGCACACCTGTGCAATAATCATGCTGTCTAATCAGCATCTTGATATGCCACACCTGTGAGGTGGGATGGATTATCTCGGCAAAGGAGAAGTGCTCACTATCACAGATGTTTTCATATTTGTGAACAATATTTGAGATAAATGGTTATTTTGTGTATATAGAAAATGTTTTAGATCTTTGAGTTCATCTCATGAAAAATGGGAGCAAAAACAAAAGTGTTGCGTTTATATTTTTGTTCAGTGTAACTGACTAAGTGTGTTTTCGAAAAATGCTAAACTATTCCTTTCATATCAGTCCGGGCTATCAGGCTATCCGTGTTGTTGGTATGCCCATTGTACACATTTTAGGACATAAAGCATATAGAAGATAATTGAAAAGTCGTGAAATCCGGCAAGCCTTCAGCCACCTTTGATGTATTTCTGATGGTGTATTAAGTGTCTGTGGTTATGAATTATCCATCCATCCATCTTCTCCCGCTTATCCGTGGTCGTGTCGCGGGGGTAGCGGTTCCAGCAGAGAGCCCCAAACTTTCCTTTCCCTGGCCACATCAACCAGCTCTGACTGGGGTATCCCAAGGCGCTCCCAGGCCAGCGAAGATATATAATCCCTCCACCTGGTCCTAGGTCTACCCCTTGGTCTCTTCCCAGCTGGACGTGCCTGGAACACCTCCCTAGGGAGGTGCCCAGGTGGCATCCTAACTAGGTGCCCGAACCACCTCAACTGGCTCCTTTCGACGCGAAGGAGGAGCGGTTCAACTCCGAGTCCCTCCTGGATGACCGAACTTCTCACCTTATCCCTAAGGGAGACACCAGCCACCCTGCGGAGAAAACCCATCTCGGCCGCTTGTATCCGTGATCTCGTTATTTCGGTCATGACCCATCCTTCATGACCATAGGTGAGGGTAGGAACGAAAATGGCCCGGTAGACAGAGAGCTTTGCCTTCTGGCTCAGCTCCCTTTTCGTCACAACGGTGCAGTAAAGCGACTACAGTAAAGCGACTGCAGTACCGCTCCCGCTGCTCTGATTCTCCGGCCCATCGCACGCTCCATTGTTCCCTCACTCGAGAACAAGACCCTGAGATACTTGAACTCCTTCACTTGGGGTAAGGACTCATTCCCTACTTGGAGTGGACAGTCCATCGGTTTCCTGCTGAAAACCATGGCCTCAGATTTGGAGGTGCTGATCCTCATCCCAGCCTCTTCACACTCGGTTGCGAACCGATCCAGTGAGTGCTGAAGGTCGCAGACCGATGAAGCCATTAGAACCACATCATCTGCAAAAAGCAGTGGTGCAATCCTTAGTCCACCGAACTGCAGACCCCCTCCCCCACGACTACGCCTCGAAATCTGATCCATGTATATTACAAACAGGATTGGTGACAAAGCGCAGCCCTGGCGGAGGCCAACCCTCACCGGAAATGGGCCCGACTTACTGCCGAGGACCCGGACACGGCTATCGCTTTGGGAGTACAGAGATTGGATGGCCCTGAGTAGAGACCCCCTCACCCCATACTCCCGCAGCACCTCCCACAGTAACTCCCTGGGAACTCGGTCATACGCCTTCTCCAAGTCTACAAAACACATGTAGACCGGATAAGCGTACTCCCAGGCCCCCTCCAGGATCCTTGCGAGAGTAAAAAGCTGATCCGTCGTTCCACGACCAGGACGGAATCCGCATTGTTCCTCCTCAATCTGAGGTTCGACAATCGGCCTGACCCTCCTTTCGAGTACCTTAGAGTAAACTTTCCCAGGGAGGCTGAGTAGTGTGATGCCTCTGTAATTGGCACACCCTCTGATCCCCCTTTTGAAAAGGGGAACCACCACCCCGGTCTGCCACTCCTTCGGTACTGTTTCCGACTTCCACGCAACGTTGATGAGACGTGTCAACCATGACAGTCCCTCAACACCCAGAGCCTTCAGCATTTCTGGGCGGATCTCATCCACCCCCGGGGCTTTGCCACTGTGGAGTTGTTTGACGACCTCAGTGACCTCCCCCCGGGAGATTGGTGTTGATCCCCCGTCATACTCCAGCTCTGCCTCTAACATAGAGGGTGGAGTTGTCGGGTTCAGGAGTTCCTCAAAGTGTTCCTTCCAACGCCCTAACACTCCATCGGTTGAGGTCAACAACGTCACATCCTTACTGTACACAGCTTGGATTGTTCCCTGCTTCCCCCTCCTGAGGTGTCGGACAGTTTTCCAGAACAACTTTGGTGCCGCCCGAAAGTCCTTTTCCATGTCATCTCCGAACTTCTTCCACACCCGCTGCTTTGCCTCGGCCACGGCTGAGGCTGCTGCCCTTCGGGCCTGTCGGTACCTTGCAACTGCCTCGGGAGTCCCCCGGGATAACAAATCCCTGAAGGCCTCCTTCTTCAGTCGGACGGCTTCCCTGACCACCGGTGTCCACCAGGAGGTTCGAGGGTTACCGCCCCTTGAGGCACCTAAGACCTTGAGACCACAGCTCCCCGCCGCGGCTTCAGCAATAGAGGCTTTGAACACCGACCACTCTGGTTCAATGTCCCCAACCTCCACAGGAATGCCCGAAAAGCTCCGCCGGAGGTGTGAATTGAAGGCCTCCTGAACTTGGGCCTCCTACAGACGTTCCCAGTTCACCCGAACTACACGTTTGGGCTTACCAGGTCTATCCAGAGGCTTCCCCCGCCACTCGACCCAACTCACCACCAGATGGTGATCAGTTGACAACTCCGCCCCTCTCTTTACCCAAGTGTCCAAAACAGTCCTCAGGTCCGATGATACGATAACGAAATCGATCATGGACCTTCTGCCTAGGGTGCTCTGGTACCACGTACACTTATGAGCATCCTTATGTTCGAACATGGTGTTTCTTATGGCCAATCCATGACTGGCACAGAAGTCCAGTAACAAACCACCACTCCGGTTCAGATCAGTTAGGCCGTTCCTCCCAATCACGCCCCTCCAAGTGTCTCCATCATTGCCCACATGTGCGTTGAAGTCTCCCAGCAAGATTAAAGAGTCCCCTTCAGGAGCCCCATTCAGGACTCTTTCCAGGGTTTCCAAGAAGGCTGTATACTCTGAACTGCTGTTTGGTGCATAAGCACACACAACAGTCAGAGTTTTCCCCCCCATAACCCGCAGGCGTAGGGAGGCGACCCTCTCGTCCACTGGGGTAAACTCCAACAACGAAGCACCCAACCGGGGACTTGTGAGTATCCCCACACCCGCCTCACACCTTGAGCAACTCCGGAGAAGAATAGAGTCAAACCCCTATCCAGAAGTAAGGTTCCAGAGCCGACGCTGTGCGTAGAGGTGAGCCCAACCAGATCCAACTGGTAATGCTCCACATCCCGCACAAGCTCCGGATCCTTCCCCCCCAGAGAGGTGACGTTCCACGTCCCCAAAGCCAGCTTCTGTCGCCCGGGTCTGGTCCGTCGAGACCCTCTGCTTTCACTGCCACCCTTCTGGCAGCGCACCCGACCCCATCGCTGTTTCCCGTAGGTGGTGGGCCCGCGGAACGGAGTAGCGGAGGTGTTGCCCACGTTGCCTTTTCGTGGTAATTACTCCGTGGCAAGCCCGGCCACCAGACGCTCGCCGACGAGTCCTCCTTCTGGGCCTGGCTCCAGAAGGGGACCCCGGGCTTCCTCCGGGCCGGGTATCCTCACTTCTTTGTTGTTCTTTCATGAGGTCTTTTGAACCAATCTCATGTTATGAATTATAATATAATTTAATCATCATCAATATTTTTCTTCCTAGGTGTTCGTAGACAGAAGCTACATCGGCCTTTTCAAGCGCCAGAACCTGGAGCTTGCAGTTCCTGGTGGTAAGGTATGGATTCAAGTTTGACCATGAAGGCCAAATGTCCATTATCTAATGTACAACTCATTCATAGTAATTGATTGGAAGGATTCTGAAGTGTCTGTATCTTGACTGGTAAACGCTTTAAAAGAAAAAAAACACAATCCATCCTTACAGGGACGACGCACCTTAAGTTTGCTGGTGGAGAACTGTGGAAGAGTCCATCAGGGAAGGGACCTTGACAAACAACATAAAGGTGATCTACAGACAATATGCAGTTCATTGCCATGCCGGCTGTTAAATTACTCAAGCACTCAGCAGGTATTGTACAAGCTCATTTTGATTTATGTTCTTGCAGGCCTTGTGGGAGACATTTATTAAACAACATCCCCTTGCGGGATTTTACAATTTACAGCCTGGATATGAAACCTGGCTTTATTGATAGGTTTGTATGCTTTATTTAAATGAAAGCATTTCCCTTTCATTATGCTGTAATACTGTGTTTAAATGGAAATCTTTTTTTCAGTCTCTATCAGGCACCTTGGAAATCCCTCCCTGAAACTCCTAGCTTCCCTGGATTTTTCATGGGAAGGCTGTTTGCATACGGGTATCCGAGTGACACGTTTGTGAAGTTGCCAGTAAGTTAAATGAAACTCATAGTTGTATGCCACTGTTACATTCCCTTCTAAATCTAGGGGGGTACAAAGGGAAGTAACCACACACAAGGATGACCAAGCACGACAAAAAAAGGAGAGAAAACCGATCTCTTAGTAACGCACCAGTCGTTTAATGACCAAAAAAAGAAACACGGGCTCACCAGCCAATTTGCACAGAATTATACAGCATCGATTATAGCACGGAGCTCCCCTCCTATCAAATGGCAACACACAGGTCTGCACACATGCAGCCAGAGGAGGAAAAACGGAGAGCCCACTGCAGTCTTCCTCCGGGCCTATATGGAGGCCCTGATTAGGAATTCGGAGCACCTGGGGAGAGGCTGCACCTGGGGACAATCAGGCTGCACCTGGGGAATCAGAGGGAGAGAGAGAGAAACACACATACACGACCACACAAACACTACGGCACGTAACAGCCACGTAAAAGTTTTAGTGTGTTTTTTAAAAGAAATACTTCATGATTGCATTGTGAAACCATGTATTTGGCTCCACAGGCTTGGGAGAAAGGCGCGGTGTTTATCAACGGTATTAATCTGGGCCGCTACTGGTCGATTGGCCCCCAGCAGGCTCTCTACCTCCCCGGCCCCTTTATCAATAGTGGAATCAACCAGGTACAAATGTTAACAAAACAGCATTTGTTAAATTAATAACTTCAGACTTCTCGAAATACACTTAATTATCATTGTCTTTGTAATGGTAGATTCATTTGACCCCAGCTAGTCAGTCATGTCTCAAAGCTCTAACTCTCTTCTTTGTCTCTCTTTTTTGTTTGAATTATAAGGTCATAGTGTTTGAAGAGCAGGAGGGTGACTTTAAGGTCCTCTTTGATGATACACCTGATCTTGGAATGGCAGCAGAAATCCAGTGAATGTTCTTTTTAGATCAGCTTGAAATTTGCAATTCAGAACTATTGTTTTTTTTGTTTATGTGCACATATGTAAAGAGTGGGGTGTTCAAGTGGGAGTATTGTGTAGCTATGTACATAGAATAATTTTAGTGTAAGTGGTTTTTAACACAGAGAAGAAGTATATTCTCTTGCCAACGGCAACTCTTTTTAGAATTGTTTAAAAGAGTAATACGTTCTGCTGGGGATGGAAGTTATATTTGATGTTTATAGTAAATATGTATGGCTTAACATTTATAAAATTACAAAGACAAAGCTGAGGCATGATTGATGTGAACAGCTTTAATATGAAACACAAGTTGTATTGCAGCAACATAAGTCATTTATCATTGAGTGAACATTGTCTTTGAATGCCTGACACATGAAGAACTGACCAGACTCCTAACAGTCTAAATAACATTTGTACGTTGTTCCAGTGCAAGTCAGTGGGGTATGAAATCATCCTGAATCCCCATCAGTTGGCCATTCATGGTGGGAATAATTGTGATTGTTTAATGTGGCAATTTGAAAGGATGCACGTCCAGTGTTCAGAGTAATGGCTTCATATTCCATGGACTCGCACATGCATAACTCACGAATAATACGTGAATGTTCCAGTTACTATCGAACAATAAATAATTCTTCTGAGAATCCTTCTGTTCGATCAGTGGGACCTTAACAAGCTGACGAAGATGTAAAGTAGGGATATTACATCTTCTCTATATATAAGTAGACCTCAGTTTTACAGCATATCATAAATAAAATAATCTTAAGTAAATGACTGTAAGAGAAGACATTGCTGTTATACAGTTCACAGAAACGTATACTTTTAAAAAAATGTATTATGTGAAAAAATTTCACATAACTGTATTAGGTTAGTTAAAAGCAATACTATTAACTTTAAATGAATAATAGGTTCAACTTAATATTACTGCTTTTAACTAACCTAATAGAGTTATGTGAAATGTGTTGACATAATATATTTAATTTAAGTCAACGTTTCAGTTTTTTCAGTGTAATAAATCATTGCTCTGTGTTCTCAAGTGCATGTGTTTCTGTGACAGCTGAGCATACGCAAATGTGTGTTAAGGTGTAACAGGACTCCTAATTAGTGCTGGGTTCAGGGTGCTATCTTAATAGCTCAGTGTTGTACAGTACTAGTGGGGAGGGCTCAGATCTCCTCAGTGCAGTCTGTGAGTCAGAGCTGACTCACTTTATACAAGGGCCCCTTGTGTTCCGCTGCGCAGCCCTGTGCCAGACAGCCAGCTCGCTTCAGAACAAAAGGGCCCTATTTAATGCTCGGCTGGTGTTGTTTGCACTCACAGGGCTCTTTATTGCTTGCCGTGCCGTCCCTTCCTCCTTTTAGTGTCTCATCATCCATCGCTCTGAGCAGGCTTGTTCTGTGCAGTTGTGCTTACTGTAGTCTGTTTAAGCACGATGCTTGTGCTGCCTCCTTGGATGGACAGGTATGCATTCATTGCTGAAGTACAGCTACTATGCTTTGATAATGTCTTTGACCCTAGCTAATCCAATGAAGAATTGCCCCTGAAAGCACAAACATATATGTTAAAAGCATTACTTTAAGAGTATACAGCAAAGCTTTAGCGCCTAAGTGAAGCCCTTATGAGCTAAATGCTTACTTTGGCATGCTAACATGCTCACAATGACAGTGCTAACACGCTGATGCTTTACAGGCATAATGTGTACCTTGTTCATCATCTTAGTAACTAGCACTTTTACATGTAACATTTGCTAAATAGCACTAATTACAAGAAACAGCCGAGGCTGATGATGTCATCAGTTTTGCAGGTATTCTTTTAACATTTTTGGGGAGAAATTTCAAATGTAAAACCTTTTATTGACCTGTTTATGGTGCCAAGTGAAAGGTGGTTAGATTTCAATATTCATTTGGGTTTATTCTATGGGCACCATTTGAAATATGTATTATATTCAGTAGATATGGATACATTTAATAATTCACTCACAAAAATAAATAAAAGCTCATGAAAGCGATTAAATAAATGTCAAGGGATCATCCTCTGGGGACAGTGAATATTATGTGTAAACCTTCTAGTCAGCCATAATAGTGGTTTAGATATCTCAGTTTGGCCTAACATTACCATCCCAAAGTCACACTGTTAGTCTTGCTAAAAACATTACTACTTGATAACGAATCATAAAAAAACAGCATGAGCCAAACCTTTAAATACAGACAGATATTTCAAGTAAGGTCCTCATCTCAGGTGCAAATATGCCCCCCTTTGGCCCATCCCCAAACATGACAATTGTGTGGGGGTGCAGTAATTAGCATTTTTTTAATCTCTGCTATTACCTGTGTGATGTGAAGTATGTCATATCTCCACATTAGAGTCTGTAAATCCCTTCTTGCCCTCATTTACCAGTACAGGCTTCTCTGTCCGTGTGTGCCAGACTAATACCTGCGGCAAGAATAAAGTGATGGAGACAAGCAGAAGTAGAGCCAAAAATTATCAAACACTTATCCCAACATTTCGTCTTGTGCAGTTTCAATATACTACACCATGCTGGCTACACAATATCTAGAGGCAGAATATAGTATTTTGAGCGATAAGTGAATAAGAATTGGCTTTAAGATGACAATGTTATGCTTTAAATTGTTATGAAAGCCAGGGTTCTCAAGAAACATCGCCTTACATTAGCAGCATTTACAGAAGCAGTATGTTTTATTGCTAATTCAAAGTTATTATAAGTCATTTTATTGAAGCAGAGAGCCTCCTTTTCTTACCTTGGTGCAGTTAGCAGCTTTAGGCTCCAAATCGCTGAGAATAACCAGCTCTTTCAATAAACTGCTCTCTTGATAACCTCCTTTCACCCCTCGTAACTTGAAAAAAGCCTGAGGATTGGACAGAATGAGGCGCAGGTTCACTGCAAACCCAGCCATGTCAATGGCGAAGGGTCGGTGGGGGTCAAATACCGTCTTCCAGCCGTATACCTTGCCCAGGGTGTTTACTTTAGGAGACTCGTATCTTAAGCCCCCCACAAGGCCACCGGCCACACCGACACCTTTTTGGTATAACGCATCTGGTAATTGGAAAACAAAAGCAGAGATCTCTCATTAAACATTTCAAAATGTACATTCATCTAAAGACATAACACAGGTAAAAACATCTGGGAAAGGGTCGGGTTTCGGGAGCTCACACTTCCTCATACTTGTACAGAAACTGTTTATAAATGTACAAACCACAGACTGTCAATGGCATGGTGAATTAATTTAGCCTAGCATGATCCATTCAATCTCCATTCAAAAACACGCATTTTAAAACTTGTTTGCCAGCCGTCTTGGGTTTACACTCGTCAAAGCATTCATTCATTGTTTTTACCAATCAGTATCAGTCTGTAGCTATTTGGCATCGTTTTGATGAACGGCAAAGTATGTTTATTTTTTTGTAGGTGGTATCTACATAGGGCCCCTTTAAACACAAATGTCAAACTTGTTTCGTGTCCGGTGTGAACACACCTGTAAAGAGAAATTCAGCTCTAAGAATGTTGCTCTGCTTTACCTCCTCAAACAGCTCCAGGCTGTAGGTGTTGTCATCATCTGCGAAGTACACCACCCCGGTCTGGATGCTGTTTTCACTGAAGGTCTCCCTGAGCCAGCGCACGGCCAGGTTCCTCTGTATGGTCCCCCGAGGTATTCTGGGGTCCTTAGTGTCCCCTCGTACCTTATAGTTTCTCGGTGTCTCCACGTTGAGGTGTGTGTAGTTGAGTCCAGTCTCTTGGAGGAGATTGCTGACTAGAGTGGTCCTCCTCTGAGAGTCCTCCACCAGGATCCAGTGCAGGTTGGGGACGTGCAGCAAAGTGTTGGCCAGGCGCGTCAGCTCGGCCTTCTGCACCGAGCGGCTGTAGGTGGGGGTGATGATGTGGATAGTGGGCAGGATGTCGGACCATGGTGGAGGCCGGCTGTAGACAAACTCGGTGCGCTCCACCTCCACCATGTCCCGGTTCTGATGTGAGCACGACTCCTTGAAAGCAAAAGTATTCCTGGAGTTTGAGCGACCAAGTCTTCTGTCATCTGCGGAAAATAAATAATTACAGTGAGGCTCTGTGTCAAACACTGACACCATGTAGCTATTGTATATTCAGATTAATGTTTCTTCTTGACAATTTGTTGTTGAAACAAAAAAAGTGTGGACTGTCTTTAACAGAGGTGGGAGAAGTACCAGTGTAGGAATACTCTTAAAGTCTGTACACCTCTGGATGGGAGCTTGTGCTACATGAAGCTAATGCATATATATGATATATAGGTTTGTTCTTGACAATTTGTTTTCCTAAATGAAAAAGTGTGACTTTAAACTGTAGACAATTTGATGCTGAACAATTATAATAATAAACAGACCCAATTATCTGTGCGTTACACCCTTGGTTCATCAACACATGACCTTTTTATCTTGAGTTAGAAAACACTTACAGAAGCACCTTACTGCCTTTGCGTACGGCTATGAAAAATCTGAATGGGACATTTTTTTATAAAGTTACTCTGAACTCTTTTACACTTACCTTTGCGAGTGGAAAGCAGAGGAGTGACGGTTTTCTGGTGCCAAACCGTGATGAGCAGTGTCCAAGGCAACACGATCAACACAAAGGCGACGATGTCTCGTCTCTTCGGCATCTCCGGGGTCAGAACTGAGTCATGTCACTACCTGCAGGGCAGTGTACGGTTAGATACAAAAATCTATTCAGTCACCCTTAAAGAAAACATTGAAAGCTTTTATATTGATATGTAGCCTTTTGTCTTAGCCTGTGAATAGTTGCAGGTTCACTGAGTTTCCCATCTAATGGCCCATCACTAAGTGAATTACATTTGGAATCCCTTATACGGCCCTTTTTTGAACATCAACTTACTTTGGTTGCAAGGCACAAACTACAAGGGAAGAGACTTTGTGTTAGAGTCAGAAACTGGGTCAGAACATGCTCAGAGCTTTCTTTTTGTCTCATTTGAAAGCATACTGGTGTTTTACAGAGAATATTTGATCTACAGTGGATCATGCGCTCTTCTGGCAGTTGACAGATCTGATTCTGGTCTACTGCATTCAGAGTGGAATCGCAATTTAATAATTTCATTATAAAGGGACATTTGTTTTTAACTGTCCATATGATAATAAACAAGATAGTAAATCATTTAGGATAAAAGCACTATAAGTGTCATTCATATTATCTTAC